GAAATTTGCTGTGCTGAATTAAATTTCTTCTTCCCCTTCAACCTCACAGAGGTGAAACTAAGAAAAGAAGTTGTCTCAGAAAACAAAAGGAAAAATAAATATTGAAGAAAACCCATAATTCATTAATCAAAATATATTATTTCTGAATTTATTAAGAGATTCCTTACTGTTTCAGATTACGTGTTAAGTGTTATTATGATAGAGACTTGGAAAGTAATACTTCATTTCATATTGCCCAGAACTCTCTTTCAGACCAAAACAGCACATTTGTTCACAGTCCATAGTGAAATTATTTCCACTGTTTCATGGAGAAGTCAGAAAATTAATCCATTTCACAGTTATAGGAATTTTAAAAGTTTGAGCTCAAACAAAACATTTTTAGTCCTTGTTTCTTAGAATGAGGCTTTGAGACTGTAAGTCTGATTTGCTTTTCAGTGTAAAAAGCCCTGGGCTTCTCTGCAGTTTGGACAGACAGCTAGACCTCACTGGGGCAGCGGGTTGTTTAAAGAGTAGATATATAGACACTAGTCCCAGGATTGCATCAGCGGTGCCACAGCCAGCCCTTGCCATAAACTCTCAGTGCACAGACTCCAGCCTCTTCTGTTTCATCCCTTGCCCAGTGAGTAAATTAGGTCAGAAAATGACCACAGAAGGGAAGAACAGAACCTTGGGAGGTTGTTTATGCAGTCAGTAAAGTGGCTCAGTAGCTAACAGTAGAAAATAAAGCAAACCGATAGTGTACACTGAGATTTTTCTCAGAACAAACAGTTCTGTCCACTTTTCACAAAGATACAGCCGAAAAACTTTTACTTTTTCTGTCTGATCTATTTCAACAATTAGTAGTTGATATTGAGGTACACTTAAAGTTGGGGATGTCAGATGGGAAAGTATCTCATTTAATTACATTCGATGTGTATTTCCTTTTGTTTTTAAGATTTTATTTATTTGAGAGAGAGAGACAGATAATGAGAGAGAGCACGAGTGGGGAGGAGAAGGAAGAGCTCAGCAGGGAGCCCGATGCAGGGCTCCATCCCAGCACCCTGGGATCATGACCTGAGCCAAAGGCAGACGCTCAACTGACTGAGCCACCCAGGTGCTCCCAGTGTGTATTTTATGTTCCTATGTCCACTGTGTACAGAAATCTGCTCCTCAGCCCCTTTGAATATCAGTTTAGTAGTTGTCTGGCTATTTTCCTGTGAGCACCAGTGTGCCTTTGCCAGTTTTCTAATTCTTGCTTTTCCTCCCTTTGTGGCCTGACCTGCTTCTCTTCCCTCAAGGTATAGGATACATGTCATTCTTGTATAGCTTTCCCTCTCTTACCCCCATGGCTGCCTCCAGCCCAGGGGGGAGGTCTTGCTCCTCCCTGTGACGGTCCTGAGAAAGAGTGGGATCCACACGTGTTCTCCCTTTTTTTTTTTTAAACATTTTTTTTAAGGTTTTATTTATTTGACAGAGAGAGACAACGGGAGAGGGAACACAAGCAGGGGGAGTGGGAGAGGGAGTAGCAAGCTTTCTTCTGAGCAGGGAGCCTGGTGTGGGGCTCGATCCCAGGACCCTGGGATCATGACCTGAGCCGAAGGCAGACGCTTAACGACTGAGCCACCCAGGCACCCCACGTGTTCTCCCTTCTAATGAGAAGGAGGAAGCGTGGCTGCCATGCTGGGCAGGAGCCCTAGCACATGAAATTCAGCCAACTGGTTTTCAGTTTCTGCTCTGCCACTGAATATGTGACCTTGGGCACCTCCTGTGCCTTACTTTCTGCCTCTGTCAATTGGGGTAATAATAGTGCCCCCTCGTAGATTATTGTATTAGAAAAGATAATACATGTACATTACAACATAACATAATGATTAAGAGCATGTACTCTGGGGCCAAACTGCCTGTGTTTGAACAACCCTGATCCAGTACTTAGGCAACTTAGGCAATCTTTCTGGTTTTCAGAGTCCTCATCTGAAAAATGAGGTAAAAAATAATACCTCCTACAGTCTCATGTTTAAAAAAAAAAGTGCCTACTGTTAGGGTTTGTTGTAAGAATTACATTAATTAAAATACATAAAATGTGTAGGCCAGTGTCTGGCAAATAGTAAACACTATGTAAATATTAACTGTTATTAGGCTTACGGAATGGTCCATGATATAGTATGCACTCAAGAAATAGTTGCTATTTAACAAGGATTTCCCCCTTTCCAACAAAATTCTCTAAGTGGAAAGCAGAAAGGATCTGAGGTTTAAAGAGAAGAAAGCAAATTAAAGCCACAATATGGTGCCACTGCCCCCCGCCAGGATAGTTACAATGAAAATGACAATACTCAGAGCCAAGAGAACTCTCACAGCTATCCATAGTTGGGTGTAAGTTAGTACAGCCACTTGGGAAAACTGGTGGTATCTGTTAAGGCTGAACTTAATGCGTGTTCTTAAGCCAGCAAATCACTCCTACGTGCATATGTACCCAACAGAAATGGCTGTTTGCACCAAAAGACAAGAATGTAGCAAGAATATTCATAGGAACATTATCCTTATGCAGTCAGTAAAGTGGCCAGTATCCTTAATAGCCAGAAACTGGAAGCAGCTCCAATAAGTCCTGTATGTTTATAAAATGAAAGAAGAATGGATGAATTATAACAACGTGTGTATGTGTATTACACAGAATGTCTAAAAGAAGACAAACACAGAAGAGTACATACTGTATAATTGCTTTTCTTTCCTTTTTTTTTAGTTCAAAAACAGCCCAACTAGTCTATGGAGTTAGAAGTCGGGGTAGTGGGGCCCCTTTCACAAGGGGATGGTTTTACTAGAGTGTTCCTGAAGTTCTGTTGCTCCATCTAATTCGATAGTTACATGGGTGTATTTTCTTTGTGAAAATTCATTCATGCTTCTGATTTCTGCATTTGTATCTATGTATGTTAAACTGCCGTTTTAAAATATATATTAAGTCAGAAGACTTGAGAATTTTGGAAATGATAATTTACTTTTCCAACTTGCCAAGTGTCCCTAGAATTAAAGACTTAGTACTTTTAAAGAATATAGGTGTTTGGGGGCACCTGGCTGACTTGGTCGGAAGAGCATGCGACTCTTGATCTCGGGGTCGTTAAGTTCGAGCCCCACATTGGGTGTAGAGAAATAAATAAAAAATACCTAAAAGAAAATGTAGGTTTTCACTACAAGGCAGAAAATGATCCAATCTGGCTTCTGTCCTTCTTAAATTGTGTCTTCAAGGCCATAAAAATAATAATTAGTTTTCATTTATCTTGCCACCTCATTATAATATTACAGATTACATGAACTATATGTGTAAGTTATATAAAAAACCGGTTTGGAGCTAGAATCAATCTTTTTAACTTTTATCAGAGTGTGATGCACTGACATCCTACAGATCAGATCTGGTGGTTTTAAAGTTTGGCTGAAGAAGTAGTTTTATGGGCTCCAGCTGTGAGATGTAAAGGGCAAGTTTGAAGGTGCTTGAGTGAGCATTAGTTGTAATCGACACTTATGCTTATTGCTTATTGCTTTGGTGTCCATGACACCGTCTTAGTAACTTAGTGAGTTTCATCTTTGAATGGAATTTGTTTTGTTTAGTCTGCATTGTGCCCAGATTGATGATCGAAAATCTTACACTTTCGCAGAACATTGCTTCATAGCTCTTCCCTTTTCTACTATTTTTATATCATATGAATCATTGCACATTTAAGCCATCTGCAAGGCCTGAATGGAATGAGATAAAAGCTGCCATCACTTAGATTGACACTTGAAAAGCTAGCACTCATTCCAAGTTTATTCCTGATAATCCTTTATATTTTAAAGTCTCGAACTTCATTTCAAGATGGTTGGTAACGTTTCTGAGCCAAAAGTATCTGTGACTCACAGTTTCTTTTACTTGAACATTGGGTCAAAGGGAGGGGATCTGTTCTGCGTCACGCAAAAGAATCTGTTAGGGACTCAGTTGTAACTCACTTGAGATACTTAGAACAGTGAGTTCCACTCTTGGTTTAATCAGCTCCGCGAGCCCTCCAGTTTGGCATGCACTTCATAGGGAATAGTGAAAACCTAAGGTTCCTAAACTGCCAGATGAATACTTCAAAATAAATGTGTTTTAAATACCTAGAATGTATCACACCTGTTAGATGTTTGTCAAAAGTATTTCTCTGTGTTGCAACTTTTTTGAGGATTTATCAGGGGGAAAAAAATTCTTGCAGTTTTGCAAAATAGATTGATAGTGCACCCCACGCTTACAGGTACTATTTCACTGTGGGTTTACACAGACCTACCGTTTACATGTTGTCCAGTAGGCTATGCAGGGTCTGTAAAGCCTCTCCCAGCAGATTTTGTAAATGGGGCCTGGGGTCCCTGTAATGATGTCACCTGGAATCAACATGGATTGGGAGGAGAGTGCCGATTGGTTTCAAAGTAGAGGCTGTTCAGGTTGAAGCCAAATGCCCGTTGTCATGAGGTGTCTCCTCTTCAGGAACAGTGTTATGATACTTCGGTGACCCAGTACTCATAAACTCTGGAACTAATAGAGGGAATGAAACATGAAAATATTCCCTTATTTCCTAAAATGGTAGACCAAAAATGCAGTGATCTCAACCATGTACAACAGACTCTTCATTTTCAAAATAGAAAGATCTCAGAAATGGAAAACTCCACTAAGAATCTAAGAATAATGGTACAATTTTTATGTCTTCAATTTTTATATCTTTCATACCTAATGGATCTCCACGTGGTCTTAGGCAGATCACTTAGTATTTTTGTTTTCTTCCATTTCACTAACGTACTGTAAATATTCAAAAGGCTTAAACTTTCTTTATAAATGATAGCAATTTGAACACAGGTAACATTTTTGGTTTTGTTTTTTTCCCTTTGAAGGGCAACTCTAATTTTTGCTTAAAGATGCTTTTGAGAACTGTGTGAAAATGGGGGGGCGGGGCTTTAATTATTTCACATAATTCTTGTGAAGTAATCATATTTATTTTTTGCTCAATGTTGTCTGTTTCTTTGCTCAGCAGACGGAAGGGGGAGCGCAGACAGATGGCCAGCAGTCACAGACACAAAGTAGTGAGAACTCAGAGAGCAAATCCACCCCTAAACGGCTGCATGTCTCTAATATTCCCTTTCGCTTCCGGGACCCCGACCTCCGACAGATGTTTGGGGTAAGTCTCTGGAGTCCTTTTGTGGGTTTTACAGTGAAAATGTAATTTAATCCCAACAATTTAAACCCGATGTATTTTAATAAGTCATTAGGACTTTAGGATAAGACTGCACATAGATTGAGAGAGAGCCTAAGGTAAATCAGTGTTTTCATCAATCTTCAGGAACTTCTGTCACCTAGCACCGTCATTCCTGTCATTCTAGACATGGGCCTTGCAGGTTCTTACATAACAAGGTGACTATGCAATCTGGTTTGCCTGGGACCGAGGGGTCTCTTGGGACGTGAGCCTTTCAGTACTCAAATCAGGACAAAGGTAGTAATCCTTACTTTTCAGAGTGTTACGAGTTCAGTGACCTAATGTCTGTGAAGCAGATAGTACCTGTGTTTCATTTTTACTTTCCTGCTTGTAACTCTGCAAGACCAATATCTAAAACCCGGTGGACGTGGTTAGTTTGCTACCTCTGATGTGTTCTTCCGGCTTCCACTTCCTCCCGAAATCACCGTCATGAAAACAGTGTAACAGCAAAGATTTAAGTTATTGGAAAGTGAGTGATTGCTGGAAGTCGTACCTTTTTTCTGGGCTTATGTGTTGTTGCCAGATTTCATTTGAGCAAACTCTTAACTTGAACTAGGAACAAGAGATCATGGTTTAAAAAAACTTTGTTGCTGTTGCTGCATGGTGCTTTGTCAGGAAAGCAGGCACCCTGCTTGAAGTCCTGGTCGTGGCCGCTTCGTGATGACAAGACCCTGAGGCAAAGTTTTGTCACTGACAGCTGAGTACCTGGAGTATTTTGTGTACCGAAGCCAAGGCCAGCACGGAGATTTAATAATGTTCTTGAAGTACTTAAAGAGCCTTTACACAGAAAACGGTAGCCAACTGTTCATCTCTCCAGAAGAGAAAACAACAGAAAATATAAAGGGCGGCTTAAAGAATTGATATTATATTTAAGAAGAAATTTCCCAGGAGTATGAGTTATTAGGTTCTCTACTGAATTATCAGAGATGATATGGAATCCTAATCTCTGGAGATCAGTGAAAATGGAGTATATTCTCATCTGCCAGAAGTGTGTTTTCTCTCAGGTCAGAAAAGTTGTGTCCATTGAAGATCTGCCTAGGCCAGTTATCAGTGATTTTTGAAATGTATTATGCCCTTCCTATAAGGCTGCTAAATGCAAGAAAGAAAATAAAATGTTCCTTGCAGGGGACACCTGGTAGGGTTGCTCTGTCTTCTGCATGGTTAGTACCTATCCCTTGGAAGGACATCAGCAGTGGGAAAGAGCAAGGATTCCATGCTTCATTTTATTAGCTGTGTAAACTTGACGGATGGCTTCCTTCTGCCTCATTTTCCTTAACCATTAAAGGAAGGCAATCCTTACCCCAGTAGGACGGTATAAGGACACATTAGAAAATGTAAAACGAAAACTCTAAAACACCATTCCAATCTTAGTTGTTTGGATAGGCATAGAAATAAAATTAAATCCCCTCCTACCTAAAATAAGACATTTTCCTTTCTCCTTTAATTTCCTAATGTTCTGTTAAATGATGAAACTGGAATCAAGCCCAGAAGTCTTACTCTAGAAAACATGGGCTCTTAGTACATGTTTTCTGAAAAAGATACTAATGATTCAGCCCAGTGAGAAAGCATGATTTGTCTTGCTCTTTTCATTTTTTAGTGTTTTCATGTTTCCCAAATTCTGATTTAAAATCCAAGTGAAAGAGATAATTTGGGTCTATGAGGCCAGTACTCAGAGGGAAAGATCTTTTTGGAAGGGCCAAAAAGATCCCAGGAGATTTCCTGCACATCCCTTCAGTTCATTTCATCCAAGCATTGAATCATATAGGTTGGTTTGACCCCTTCTCCACGCCTCCTCCAAATAACCACTGTGTTTTAAGTATGCCCCTCCAGTCAGCTATTAAGCTGCCTACCAATACAGTTATTTAGGCTTGGTGTTTTTAGTTTATTTCCCAAATGTTAAAATATTTAATTATAAAACAAAGTTACTACTTAAAATGTTCTTGATGGTGTTCATTGCTGAAATATTAAATTGGCAAATAAATGAAATCATGTATAATGTCCGTGAATGTTTAATACGATGGAAAATAGGATGTAGTCTGTAGAAAAGAGAACAGAGATATGTATTTATTGACTTGGAAAGCTGTTTATAGCATATTAAGTTAAAAAAAAAAAAGAAGTAATACTTGGAAATATGTCCTTAACAATATATGCCTGCGTTTGCGGAGAAGGCTGTGTACCAGAATGGTAAGATGGTGGGTGTGCAGAGGATCTTCATTTTCTGTTTCCTCTTTTCCTTTTTATTTATCTATATTTCCTGACTTTTACAGTGAATATGGTTTACTTTTATAAATTAAAGAAGGAAAAGGAAAACAGCCTTCAGTAGTGTATCTTTTTCCTTAGGATTTGCTTCTTAAAAACTGAGACATTTAAGGCAGCCCGACACGCCGTGCAGCCCCCCAGTCTCCCGCAGCCACCTCCCCCAGGCATGGCACAGGGCCTCACCTCACTGTGGCAGCAGCACGGTACAGCACGCTTGACTTCAAGCTCGGCGCCAAAGCTGATGGCGAGACCGTTCTAAGAGGCCTCCAGTCCATTTTCCAGGAGCAAGGGATGACAGAGTCGGTGCACAACTGGCAAGACCACGGTTATCTAGCGACCTACATCAACAAAAACGGCAGCTTTGCCAGTTTGAGAATTTACCCACATGGATTGGTGTTGTTGGATCTTCAGAGTTATGATGGTGATTCACAAGGCCAAGAAGTTGACAGTCTTTTGAACAAAGTAGAAGAAAGAATGAAAGAATTGAGTCAGGACAGTGCTGTGCGGGTGAAGTGATTACCACCCATAATTCGAGGAGGAGCTCTTGACAGATACTGACCCACTGCTGATGGTCGCCTGGTTGAGTATGACATCGATGAAGTGGTGTATGATGAAGATTCACCTTATCAGAACATTAAAATTCTACACTCGAAGCAATTTGGAAATATTCTCATCCTTAGTGGGGACTTTAATCTGGCAGAGAGTGATTTGGCATATACCCAGGCCATCATGGGCAGTGGAAAAGAAGACTACAGTGGCAAAGCCATGCTGATTCTTAGGGGTAGAGACGGGGGCATATTATGTGAAATAGTCAAACTGAAACCAAAGATGGTCACTGTGGTAGACATTGACCAAATGGTGATTGATGGATGTAAGAAATAATGCGAAAAACATGGGGCAACCTTTTAGACAGTCTTAAAGGAGACAGCTATCAGGTTCTGATAGAAGACTGTATTCCAGTACTGAAGAGGTACGCCAAAGAAGGGAGAGAGTTTGATCATGTGATTAATGATTTGACAGCCGTTCCAGTCTCCACATCTCCAGAAGAAGATTCCACTTGGGAGTTTCTCAGACTGATTCTTGACCTCTCAATGAAAGTACTGAAACAGGATGGAAAATACTTTACACAGGGTAACTGTGTCAATTTGACAGAAGCCTTGTCGCTCTATGAAGAACAGCTCAGGCGCCTCTGTTGTCCAGTGGGATTCTCAAAGGAGATCGTCTGTGTTCCTTCATACTTGGAATTGTGGGTATTTTACACTGTTTGGAAGAAAGCTAAGCCTTGAAGACCTATTTCTCCTAATCATGTGTGCTGCAAATAACCTTCCTGACCTTCATATGCTGTACATGACATCGAAATGAGTCAGGCAATTGATGGTGATTTCTTTCAAGTTTTCTTTTTTTAATTATTATTTTTAATTTAAACAAAGCAAATGGAAAATGTATATTTTGATGCGCTAGGGTGTTAATTTTTTTGAAAGTCAGCTGAAGGATGATTAGACAGCACAGCGAAGGCTGCCAAATGCACTGAACCCCTAGAATGTGATTTTTGTTACTTTTGTGTGTGAGTGCGTGGGCTTTTTGTTTTTGTTTTGGTAGACTTCGAATTTGGTTGTTTGGAGGAATGAACATCATTGTTTTGTTCTGGAGGGAAGTTCTTTGATTGTGTTTCTTTCCCCCAAAATTGACTTAGCTATTAAAATTTGATGCTTATAAGAAAGAGTTAAGAAAAAAATGAATAGCAGTGCTTCAATTAAAATTATAAATGAGGAAAAAAAACTGAGACATTTAAAACATTAAACACATAGTTAGGAAACCACCAGTTCTTGTCCATGAAGAAATATGCAGGAGGGTGACACTGTGAATATCTTCTGAGAACAGCTTCTACCATACAGAGGTGGATAATGCATGAGTGGGTGAATTGAAAAAGGAGTGAAAAAAGGAGAAATTATCATCTCATTGATGAGGGAAAACCAGAAACTGGTGTTGGGACCTACCAACAAGTAGAAACATGGAAGTTGAATAAGCAGTTGGAAAAAAAAAACAAAAAACAACTCTTCCTTTTTCAGGAGAAAATAAAGTATGTGGTTAAAAAGCTGACCATGAATAAATGTTTTTATTTTTGTCTCTGCAGCAGTTTGGCAAAATCCTAGATGTAGAAATAATCTTTAATGAACGTGGCTCTAAGGTAAGCTCCATCTCAGTATTAAGTGTGCCTGGTTTCTTTTTAGTTTTGTTTTAAATAGTTAAATAATCAGAAAACTTAAAGCTGTTTTTCAAGCCTGCAAAAAGTATCCCGACTTACCTGGCTTGGATCAGATTATCTCTAAAAATAAGCTACCACATGGCCAGACTTCACCCTAATCATTCAGGTGGGGGAGTGAAGGCGTGGGGGTAAAAGCAGAAGTGTGAGGATGGAGAGGACAAGGGGGGGGTCGGGGCAGGAGACCCCGGCCCTTGAGGGGACTGTAATTGCCCTCACATGCTTACTGTAAAGGGAAGAGAGGACTCAAGTGAAATTCTATGAGAATTCTATTGTGAATTCTAACAGAACAATTCAGCTTTTTAAAAATCAGACTTGAAATGACATACTTGGAACAAATTTAATATTTCACTTCTTCAGTAGACTTGCTCTCTCTTTTGAATAAATTTGACAAGGCATAAATACAGGGAGTAGTGACTTGGGAATTCACTGTAAGCTGATTTCCTCCTTTGAGTTCTACCCAGAGAGGTAAGATGTAGAATCCCTTCAATTACAAATAGTGAGTTGGGGTTTTTTTGCATCAGAATAAATGTAGTAACACTGCACGATTCGGTATATGTACTCTCTTCTAAATGTGTTCTGTATGAGACCTGAACATTCTAATTAAAACTTATTTCCCCCTAATAATTTACTATTTTAAATTCCCAATCTATATGATTGAGAATTTCCATACACTAAAATAAGCAGCAGTGATTTTAGGAGTCAGGGAATGATGAAGTCTTACAGTGATGTGAAAAAATATTTAATGAACTGAATTTCGAGAAGTTTCATTTGACAGTTTTCTTCTTCCTCGACAAATGAAATACCCCCCACAGACACAATCAGCTGTGGTCAAGCTTGGAAATATTTCCTTGCTCTGTTTTCTTCTACTTGCATTTTTTAGGTTAGAACAGTTTTTGAGTTAATTTTTCATTTGGTCATCTCTCCTGAACTTTGAAATAGCCCTTGGCTATGATTAAATCTCTAAGAATATAATTTGAGAAAAGCTAAGTAAAGCGAATAAATGAGATAATACTTACCTCTTCAGTTTCCTACTCCAAATTCACCATGCCCTGGGAATTAATAGCATATATCTACAGAGTTATATATACACCTCCTGCCCCATCTAAACTGACACAAATGTATGTACTGTTCTAACGCTCCTGATTATTATTCCCTTCCCTTATAGAATGCACTGATAGTGTTTAATTCTGATTATAATAATTCTTTGTTAATTATTAAAGAGGTAATTATACTCTAAGCTTCCAGTTTTCAGTTAAACAAAAAAGATTAATATGCCTATACAGAACTTTCTCCAGCACTTAACTTGGTAAGTATTTTTAAAGTGAAATCTGCTCAGCCTGTAACCAGTAAAACTATTTATGCTTGTGGTTTCTTCACAGTGGATTTCTGGCCCTTTGCTTTTATCTTTTGTGACCTTTTTAGATCCAAGGTGGAAAAATAACAGTGGTTTAGAGATGAGAAGTGCATGAACATATCATGTGATAATTCTTTGCTACACTGTTTATCCAAAGTCATAGTTTAAACGTTTTTAGTTTTAAGTGTAGGCACTTAAGTTGTTAACTAGACCAACAACCCGAAGCCCAGTATGGTTTCATCTGGCAATGGGACCTTGCTCCTTACCAAGAAAATAATTGGATTGAATTCTTGTGAAGCAAAGGAAATTGATCTTTCTTAAGGCTTCTTTCATTGACTTCAAAGGTTTGCCTACTACCAAAAATTGTTTAATTTACCTGATTCGATTGCTTCTCCCTGTAATTTTCATGGTTAAATGACACACGCCTTCCTTTTCTTTTTGGGGAATCTAAAAGCCTGTGCTGCTCCTCTCAGTAAAATGCTGTATCCACACTGCCCCTTTCTCTTTGGGGCTGCTAAAGAATAGACAGACTGTACTCATTGGCCATTGTTCTTAAAACAAAGCACAGAATTCAGAATGGCCTGGATCTGCCTTCAAGGACTGATACAAAATCTGTCTTCATCCTTTGTCCTTCTTAACTGTCACTAAAGTTCTTTCTTGGAATGGGTTCCCCCGAAACTGTTCTGGAGACTTGCTAACAGAGGTTTATTTTGGAGTCAAAACCTGGGTACCTCTTCTGGGATCCACCTCACATAAATTAAAGAGTACTTTTCTTTTTGTAAATTAAGTTTATTTTCTCATTTCTTTTATGTTTATCGTTGACTATAAAATTACAACATGTCTTGAAAGGAACCAGAGATAAGGAGACCTAAGTGGTCCTATTGTTCTCTTTAGAGTTGCTCAGTCTTTTAACTGAATGTACAGAAATTAGCTTTATTGAATTTTTTTGAAACAGTAATGGAAAAACGAGTCACAAAATAATTCCGAGATAAGTGATGCTTACATGTAAAACAGTTATCAGTGAAACAGTTAAATAACTACATGACTCCAAAACAAAAAGCAACTCTTTACCATGTCTTCTTTTTTATAATGAGACTGTCCGCGTACGGTTTTAGAACATACCCACCTAAAAACATAGATGAACACTGTTGTGCTCCCTTGCCCGTCCCCATCCCCCCCCAGTGTCCGGCTTGTCGGCATTCTGCTTTCTCAGCTTGCCTGAAAAAGTTGTTGTTGAGTATCTTCCTTTTTTTGTCTTTGACCTTCATATTCTAGATTTGATTTTCCTAGATTATGGAATGAATGTATATCATTTACATTCATACACAAGCAAAAATATATACTTAGATTATTTCGTGTGATTTTTTAAAAATCTTTTTTTTTTTTACTCCATACTCCTTTGTAAAAGCATAAAGTCAGTCATTTAATTTTCTATGATTAACTAAAACAAAGGTAGACTATCCTTTTGAAAATGTTCAATTAGGACGTATGATGAAAAATGCTACCCCTGCCAAGAAATGGAAGTAATATACTCAAATAGAATCTAGAAATGATTATATTTTTATGTATAACTTTATTGATTCCCCAGATATCACCAGTCACAACAAAGTATTACTATAAACAATAGAAAGATAATATATTGGCAGAGTGACCATATGTCCTGGTTTATCCAAAATAGTCCCAGTCTGTAGCCATTGTCTTAGCATGATTATTGGTGTCCCCTTCCTCCCTCAAGGTACTCCAGTTTGAATGATAAATTGTATTGCCCCCTCCTTATAGATTCTGTGAATAACAACTTTTAAAAAGCACCCTTTTCAAAACAATTAGAAAAACGTGATTTTTTTGGGGCGCCTGGGTGGCTCAGTTGGTTAAGCGACTGCCTTCGGCTCAGGTCATGATCCTGGAGTCCCGGGATCGAGTCCCACATCGGGCTCCCTGCTCGGCAGGGAGTCTGCTTCTCCCTCTGACCCTCTTCCCTCTCATGCTCTCTATCTCTCTCATTCTCTCTCTCTCAAATAAATAAATAAATAAATAAAATCTTTAAAAAAGAAAAACGTTATTTTTAATGTCCAGACCAAATAGTTGATTAAAAGAACATATTCACTAATAATCTCCTGTATTTCCTTCCAGTCTTTTTTCTCACATAGAATCTTAAACAGAACTCTAAATAATGGTTACCTAGTTCAACTTGACTTTGCATTCTCTGCTAGATACTTTTAGTGACTGAGAACTCATTGCTTTTCAAAATTTTAAGTTTTACTTAAATTCCAATTGGTTAATGTGCAGTGTAGTATTAGTTTCAGGTGTACCATATAGTGATTCAACACTCCATATATCACCTGGTGCTCATCACAAGTACACTCCTGAACCCCCATCACCTGTTTCACCCATCCCCCACCCACCTCCCCTCTGGTAACCATCAGTTTGTTCTCTGTAGTTAAGTCTCTGTTTTTTTATTTGCCCCTCTCTCTCTTTCTTTTTCCCTTTTGCTCATCTGTTTTATTCCTTAAATTCCACATATGAGTGAAATCATACAGTATGTCTTTCTCTGACTGACTTATTCAGACTTTCCACCATTCTGTACACTATCACCCAGCCCCATAACAATTTGTTTGTGATAATTATCACATATAATTATCTTATTAAGTAAAGATGTACACATTCTAATGTTTATATTTTCCATAAAGCTTTGTCAACCTACTTCTGGTGTGGTTGTTGCTCGAAGGGACATGTATCATAAATACTGAATGTGTAGGAGCTCTTCACATCTTCAAACAGTGCCAACTGTTAAGTTCGCTAAAGGACCACAGACCAGATCGCAGCAACCATTATTGAGATTTCTAGCAAGTTTTTAGCTCACGTGTTCTCATTACTTCTCACAGGTGTATATCTGGAATGATGGGGATCTGAATTTGGGTTAGACTTCAGTTTAGGCTGGAGTTAGGGAAAATAAAGCCTCTAATCCCATCCTCAGACACAAGTAATGTGCTATAATTTCTTGCCTGTTTCCCTGGATTTTGATTTCATGCAAAGGGAAATTATTTATTTCTTTCAAAATATTGTCAAAAGGCTGTCTTTGAAATTGCACTAACTAGGCCTTTGCTTTTCAGTAAAATTTGATAGGTAATGCTGAGTTGAAATGTTTTTCATTATACTTAAAACTGAATTAACAGGGCATGTGTTTCCAAAGGGCTTAGTTTATTTTCTTTGTTATCATCTTATGGGTTTTAGTTTTCTTTTTCTTTTCTTTATTTTTTAATTTCTATGTTCCGGCCATACCCAGGAGAACATCTGCTTTTGATTTCTCCCTTAAAAGTTACATGGTAAATTTTCTTTCTCATTCTTCTGAGATGGAAAAACTCAAAGATTATACAAATTTAAGAATATTTTTACAATGTTCATCCTATTGCTTGTTATTTATTGCAGTCTGAGGCCAGACTAAAAAGATGGCAGTTATTCGGTTCCTATAGGCCCTTGATGATAAATGAATGTCAAGACAGGTGATAAAATGTTTGTCACACTCAGTAGAAATTTTGACCACAACCATAATCCCAATAGACACACCATTCCTCAGTTTTCACAAGGCAGCTAAGATAGGGGTAAATCACTAAGGGAACGCTGGTAACACAGAGGAGTTTGGGAACTGAGAGCTGTAGGTTATAGTATAAAGCATAGAGACCTGCATTGTCCAATACAGTGTCAGCGTTGAGCACTTGAAATGTGGCAAGTCTAAATTCAGATGTGCTTTCAGTATAAAATACACATGATTTCAAAGACTTAGCAGAAAAAAGGAATATCTCATTAATGTTTTTTATATTGATGCCATGTTGAAATGATAGTATGTTGCATATATTTTATTTTAAATAAAATACATTATTGAAATTACTTTAATATATTTTTACTTTTTTAATGTGGCTAGTAGAATGTTTAAAATTATATATGTGGCTTGTGTTTTATTTCTGTCAGACAGCACTGGTATAGACAAACATATCAACATCGGGTTTTTTTTATTAAAAAAGAAAAGTTTACTTTTTTATCTCTTTTTTATCTTCTTAAATACCTGAAATGTTTACTCTTCTTAAGAATTTGAGATTCAGTCTTTGACTTTGTAGCTCTTCCAACTGGTTATTTTGTTTTCCTGACTGATATATTATGTAATCATTTTGGGGGGAGCTCTTCTAAGGAAAAAGTGTTAAGTTTAGACATAACTTTATTAAATTTTTCTTTTCAAAGCAAGAGATCCAAATGACCAAACTTAATGCGAATTAGATTTCCAAGAATGAAGGGACATTAAAAACATAATTTCATGTAAGCATTATTTTCCTGCTAGTAACTTTTTAAGCCTGGATAATCTGAATATCCTCAGCTCAGTTCCTGGCACATTTTCAGAAATGCTAAATTTTATTGAAGGAATGGTACATTAAACTTTTTTTCAAGTTTTAATTAATCTTTTTTTTTTTAATTTTATTTATTTGACATAGAGCACAAGCAGGGGGAGTGGCAGGGAGAGGGAGAAGCAGGCTCCCCACAGAGCAGGGGGAGCCCGATGTGGGACTCGATCCCAGGACCACGGATCATGACCTGAGCCAAAGGCAGTAGCTTAACCAAATGAGCCACCCAGGCACCCTTGAGTTAATATTCTTGAAACCAAATTGTAGTTAAGTTGATGGAAAAGCTAAAGTTTCAACACAAGAGGAAAGTATTAAAGAACAATAGTCTAAAAATGCTGGCTAGACTTCTCACCTTTCTAATCACAGACTTCTGAGAGATATATGTTAATTTCCTATTGTTTCTGAACAAATTATCTTCCAAGTTGGTGGCTCAAAAATACAGATTTATTATCATACAGTTCTGGAGGTCAGAAGTCCAAAATGGGTCTCACCAAGCTAAAACCAAAGTGTTTCAGGGCTGCATTCTTTCAGATGGCTCTAAGGGATAATCCCGTCCTTGCCTTTTCCAGCGTCTAGAGGCGGCCCACATTCTTTGACCTATAGCCCCCTTCCATCTTCAAAGCCAAAAATGGCCAGTTCAGTCTTTCTCAGGCTGGTGCACTTTGATTTGGACTCTCCCGTTTCCCTCTTTAACTTATAAGCAGCCTTGTGATTACATTGGGCTCACCTGGATAATCCAGGATAATCTCCCTATCTCAAGATCATTAATTTAATCACGTCTGCAAAATCTCTTTTGCCAGGTAAGGTAGTAACATTCACAGGTTCCAGGGTTTAGTATGTGGACAACTTTGGGGGGCCGTTATCCGGCCTGCCACGAAGTCTATTTATCTTCAAAGGAAAGAAGGAAATCTCCTTACTTCTGTCTCATCAGGAAGTCCCAAAGTATCAGCAAGACCTTCTTCATCCTTTACCCTAGGTGAAGATTGCTTCATTTTGTATCTTTGGTGTCTTGATTAGCATTTCCTTTGGAATACAAGCACTTCTGCTGGCTGTAAAATGTCAGTGCTTATGATACCACCCTGAATTCTTTTGGCTGCAGTTACTACGTCACAGATGCCCTTGTCAGCCCATTACAGAGCGGAGGCTCACAGAACACATTTAGCAATTAGATTTGAAAAAGAAAACTAGAAGGATTTTAGGATGAATGCAGTTTAGTTAATAGAATACTGAACTTAGGTTTCAAAGCTTAATTTCTAATTTTCTCACCATTAGCTGTAGAAAGAAGCCACCTGGAAGGAAGAAGGCCTTGTTGGTGCTTGGGTGTTTAACCTCAGTTTGATTTACTTTCTTCGTCTTAAAAGTGAAAATAACAGATTTATCCTTTCTGTACCCCATGGTTGTATTTAAAAGACAAACAAGTATGTGAGTGTATGGGTGTGTAGATCTAGATAGTCCTAATGCCAGTACTAAAAACCTCTGGTATTAGTCTCCACATCATCTGTTATCCAGCTACTAACTTACTGTTTATTAATTTAACCCAAGGCATATAAGTATGAGGCTGTGAGAATCAGCTGAAATACAGTTTATAATACTTCTACAGTGTGATATAAAAACTCATTTCTACCTGTGACCTTTCCTGAAAGGTTCATTTAACTTTTCTATTGGAGGATTCTCCAGGATTGGAGAGCTGGTTTACTGTCTTCAGCAGATGGCTAGTGTAGATGACAAACAAACGATGTCATTAATTAGTAACTTGAGATCATATACCTCAAGTTGTCGATGTGTCTGTAACATGTTGGTATCAAAATTTGTTTCTGAAAATGTTTGATATTTTCAACATATATTTTTAAAGAAAATATTAACTAAAATTACCTGTAGTAGTCCACCTCAAGCAGCGCAGCATACATTAAGAATTTTCTGTCAGCTTAGCATTGCACTTTCTAAGGTATTTGTGGTGATACCCAGATTACAGGTAGAGATAATCCATTGGGATCCTCCATGGATCGCCACTCAACCATATAGTCATGGTTGTAGAATGGAGAATGCATGGTTGTAGAATGCAAGGTAATAAGATCCTTCAAAATGATGGAATTGCTTTTCTAAAATCTTATTGAGCAATGCACACTATTGACCATCTCAGTTAAGAACATGTTTTATATATATATGGAAGGACTCATGGAAGGCAGCAGAGCAGAACTTCAATAAAAATAACAAAGGGTTCCAGGTTATCCTACAGTGGAATGTTCAAAGAATGCTAGAGGGACAATGCAGCTATTGAGAAATAGGTCTTTCCCAGAAAATCCTAAGAATTTACTACTCTACACTTGTAAATAGCTTGAGAAAATGTTACAGTTGCAAAGTAGAAAGAGAAAGACAAAGCACCTAGGATGAAACTGATACAATGCTTGATGAAATAGTCATGTAAATATATAGTAAATCCTGCTGCTTTTGGCATTGATGGTATGATTGTGACCAAGACAGTCTTTTCAGATAAATGTGAATATAGGAGTAAGTGGGTTAACTCCCTGGTTCCTGCTTTATCCACTTAGTGAATTGAAGCTCCATACAACTTATTTGTGTACAGTGCACAAATAAATTAATTCTAACTCAGAGGAGCACTGCATCGCTGTTTTATGGTGTTCTTTTCCTGTTGAACAGTATACAACTGATGTCACTAACCCATCTCATTCGCACTGCCTTTTGATTATTCCTTCTTTCCCTTTACATGGAAAATTACTAATACATTTAGTAGCAGATGTAGGCTTCAACAAATGTGTAATCTAGGCACATTTGGATAAGCTATTTTCTGGAATTCAGCTGAACCTATTTTTGCTCTGAGTGCCAGTCTGGTTTAAAATTCATTGAAGAAAAGGCATAATTGGCCACTACTTAGTGATATTTTCATTAGCTTAGATGAACATGGTGCTCTTCTTCTTCTGCACCCAGTACCTAGAGAATTGTAGATCGAGGCTATGTTTTAAATTATTCTGTTCCCAGAAGAATTATGGTGATACAAGCAAACAGGCAGAGTGGAGCTAAAATTGTATCTCCTAAAAACCCCATTATACAGTGATTACTCCTAAAGGGAAGGCTTCATGTGGAAGTTACTGGGGAATGATGGATTTAATTAAGTATTTTTAGCATTACATAAAGGGACATGTAAATTAACAGCATGAATTGAAAGAGAAAGAACATCTAAAAGAAATGTTCAGATTCTTGGTGGAAGAGTTTGACCCGAGTAGCTCTGTACTTTAATTTTGGTCTGGCCTCACATGCTTTATGTTTTATTTTATTATTGTTCTTGTTGTTAATTACATTATCATTATTATTGTTGTTGCTATTATTGTTATTATTATTACTACTACTACAGTTCTGTATTCTGTTATTGGATTTAATTTCCCTTTACCAAATATGCATGGACCAAAAATATGACTTTGAGAGAGTATTGCTGAGTCGATGCTGATGTCAGTTTCATACTGTGATATTTTTTCTCTGTTTACCAAGAGATCAATATTTCAATATAACGATGTGCATGTTTTCCCCCCTTCTCCCGCTGCATGCAGGGATTCGGGTTCGTAACTTTCGAGAATAGTGCTGATGCAGACAGGGCCAGGGAGAAATTACACGGCACCGTGGTAGAGGGCCGTAAAATCGAGGTGCATGTCTTCAATAATTCAATTTCTGGTTTATATTTTTATTTCTCTTTTTGTGTATTCCCTCACTTATTTCACATTTGGAGCCCTGTCTTGTGTGTGTGTGTGCACACACGCATATGTGTGTGTGTCTGTGTCATTCACCTTCTTGCACTAAAATGTGTAAAAGTAACACTTCTGTCCTCCTTTCCCCATTTTTTGGTTGCTGGGGGGGTTTCATTTTGATTTACTCGTGTGCGTGTACATGTATATATGTTTCTTATTTACTTTTTTCCTCCAAAATGTTCATCCTTCTGCTCTTTTGATTTTTTTCCTTTGCTTCAGTTTGCGAGACTCCATATGAATACCTGTGATCAGGCCAAAATAAAACTAACTTTATAAATGTCTAAAAACTATCCAATTTGTGACATTGTGTCCTGTAATTAATCAAGGAGCCAGCCAATATCCTCTCTCTCTCGGGCGGCCAGTTCGCCTCCATGTGCGTGTGATAAGCAAGGAGTACAAGCCTGCTGAGATGGTGGGGAGGGAAGAAAGAACCCACAACTCGTGGAGTTTTTAAGTATATTTAATATCAAGAATTTCTCCAGTTAATGGATAAAATCCTCAGACCAAGGGTTTGACGGCTGCCTGGCAAATGTGCTGTGACTGTGTTCACGGCAGCCACGTGGTGTTCGCCAACCCTTTTGAAGAACGCAGTGAAGGTTAACTGGCTCCTTTCCCCTTTCCCAGTTTTTAAAAGTATGAACTATAAAAGCCACCATTTTGAGTAAGATGTCTGCATATTTTGCTTTTTCCCTCCCTTTCCGATGGTTTAGCATTTAGGGCCCTTCACTTGACTCACTCTTTCCATGGTAACTATACACAATGCTGGCGATGGTGCCCGTTGGCGGTAAGTGAAACAAAGCGCTAGAGAAGAAGCTTTTTCAATTGTTAATTACAAAACAATTAAATAAGAAAGAAAAAGTCCATCTGCCATCTCACATTAACACTACAAAATGTGATTTGACTTGTTCCTCTTCCTTTTCCTTTCCCCCTTTTATTTTCAATGCTCTTGAGTAATGCCGCCTGGACTTTGGATGTACATATTGTTTGTAGCAGTCTGAGCTGTTTGATTACTGACATCATGGTGATTTTTTTTCCCCTTGCACATCTTACTCAGAGTTACTGAGCTCCAAGTTTGGCCGGTTTTAGTAATGCACTTCCTGCCCCTGCTTCCTTCCCCTTCCCCAGACCTCTGTAGCTCTGACTGTTCTTTCCTTGCCCGCAGCACCCCTCCTGACTTCCTCTCTTCTTTCCCCTGCCTTCTTGCTCTCTTTCCCCAAGTTCTGTCCCCATTCTTTTCCCTCTGTCTCTCCTACCCTTTCTCTGTTTCCTGCGGCAATTGGTCTCTTGCTGACTGGTGGTTTCTGACTGGTTCTGGCCATTTTCCTTTTAGCGCTTGGGTGCATTCTGCTCTAGTGGCTAGTGTAAGCTCTGACCCCATTCTAATCCTTGTCTGTGAGAACCTCGCTCTTCACTCTCTCCCCTCTTTCCAAAACCGATTGTTTTTTCTTTCTTTTATTTGTGTGTGTGTGTGTTAACTGCATGCTCTCAGTCTCATCATTGTTGTATCCCATTCTTTCTTTTTAAATGTGAAATGTTTCTATTATTTGGTGGGTCGAACTAGAGTAAATGGAGTTTCTTTTCCTCACAAAGGAAGATTTCTCCTCTGCCAATCCTAAAAGACCTATTAAGACATTTTTTGGTTCCAGTTCCACCTAAAATTGGTCTTTCCATAACACAGATTTATAACCATACAAATTTAACTTTAATGTAAATCCCCAGAGGCAAAATAAGACATTTATATTTGGTGTGTTTTATAATTCTTTTAAAAGCTGGCCTGTTCTCTGACTTGACCACACGATATACAGCCAGGTTCTATGGTGATGCTGCACCCTCCTTGCAAGAGCTTTAGGCTGGTTCTGACCCTGGGCTGCAGTCTTCTGGCTTTGAGGCTCCATTCATCTTTTTGTCATCAGCACCATCTTTGTAACATCTGCTTACCCTAGCACTGAGAATGCTCTAAATTCTGCACTTCTGTAATGAGGGTGGAGAGAACCATAAAACAAAAGAAACCGAAGCTTTATTTTTTCCATTAAGTGCCTCATGTAAAGGCCTTCTGAAAACATTAGTCTTAAGTGGATAGACCACATACTCTAGAAAATACAGCCCGGTCCTGAAGATGGTCAACATGGGATTCTAAGTTTTGATATTTTTTTAACTCCTCAAACAGTAAAATCTTACACAGTCATCAAAAATGATGAACATTAGAACAGGTGAAATCCATAGATTTATTTTCTTATCTTACTGTAAACCTATTCCCTGACCCATATGGCAAGCCTCTGTTTTATCAATGAACTTCAAAGTTCATGCGCAGAGTTGTTCCCAATTTACTTTTTCCCATATTTTCCATAATGCAGAGACTTCTCTGTTTAAGAGATCACCAAAGAACTTGCAAATGTATCTTTCCTTTTGATACCTTTAGCCCACGTTTTCCATTTGGAGACCAAGAAACTGCATTTTACTCTTGTTAGCCTCATTTTATAAACACTTTAATTAAAATACTATATATTAATATTTTATATTGCTATATTAATTATTTAAAATCAATGTTCTCTGAAATTTACATTTTATTAAACTGAGTGCTGTGTTACCGGATGAGCAACTTCATGTTCCCTAATATGGTCTACTTTCTCCCTGCCCCTTCTGTTTCCTTTATGTTTTTAGGTGAATAATGCTACAGCGCGTGTAATGACCAATAAGAAGATGGTCACACCATATGCAAATGGTAAGAGATGACAGATCATCCTCAGAAGGGTGTCATTTATTCTTGTATTAATATGTGAACTTTGGGTAATCATCAAAGAATCTCTTGATTTCAGTCCTATGGCAGTTTGTTTCATTTACATTGAACTATTTTCTTTACTAGGAGAGTATTTTTACAGTTTTGTCTTTTTACAGCTAACTTGTTTCTTAGAATTAAGCTTAGTTTTTCAGTTACTAAGCTGTAATGACCTCAGTAAAGTTCATCATACACAGAGTGTAAACACGTCATTTGAGGTTACCTGTTAACCCAGTGGGGTCCCACTAAGGCACCCTCATTTTTAGCTGCTACTGTTCTTTGTGATATGATAGGCTTGTCCGTAATACGTGCCCACCAATGTTCACTTTTACTGCTGATCCCTACCCGCATCTGAGCTTGAGTGGAATAATTCTTGACCCCTGCTCTCCTGTTAAAAGTATGCCCTAGAGAGAACAGCCATGGTGCGCATGCGTGCATGTGTTTTCCATCTTCTGTCCCAGGACTACATGTTATAGAGTGGGTTTCATACATGTTTCTCATTAAGAAAGAAACCTTGTGAATATTTTGCCTAACAAAAGCAGAACCTGTACATCATTTGTCAGTTTAGTCTAGACCCATGTCATCTGATTGATAGACCTGACTTTGAACCTGCAGTGCAACAGTGGTCTTGCCAGCTGTGCTCTACAGGGCCTTAGGGGGAGGGGTGGGGAGGAAACCCACAGGCTGGGTCTTAAGGCCTGCAGCAACTCCTTCTCTGTCATACATTTTAGCGTTCTGCATGAAATTTTATCTAGAATCGAATGGGATGTTTGCTGCTGCCTTTTAAAAGTTTGAATCTACTGCTAGAGTATGATTGTGCAGGTAATGTCTTAACTCAAATATAAGTATCTCAGTATATTCCGTGATGTCTTCAGTAGATACATTTAGGCCACCTTTTCAAACAGATGGTATAAATCAGCATAATTTGCATTTATTAGCATAATTTACATTTTCCCTACCCATTTTATCAATGGTATATCATGTGATACCACCACCTCCCCCTTTACCTCTTGTTTGTTTTGTTTTGTTTTGTTTTGTTTTGTTACACTACCATCACAAAAACAACTTTCTGGGATGCCTGAGTGGCTCAGTTGGTTGAGCGTGTGCCTTCGGCTTGGGTCATGATCCCAGGGCCCTGGGAGTCCCACATCCGGCTCCTTGCTCAGTGGGGAGCGTGCTTCTCCCGCTTCCTGTTGCTCTCCCTGCCTGTGCTCGCTTGCTCTCTGACAAATAAGTAAAATCTTTAAAAAAAAAGTTTGCAATTTTGATAATAACCCCAATGTAAACAAAATAGGAAGGAGAAGCAAAGTATGTCAAATTTCCTTTAGATCCAGGGAGAATGGTGTCGTAGAAAGAGTCACTGACTGGAATTTAGAAGACAGAAATTCTACTTCTAGATTTGATTCTTCATTTTGCTCTGTGTCATTGGGCCAATTTTTTTTTTTTAAGATTTTATTTATTTGTTTGTTTGTTTGACAGAGAGACGGGGCCAGGGAGAGGGAGAAGCAGGCCTCCCGCCAAGCAGGTAGCCTGATGCAGGGCTCGATCCCAGGACTCGGAGATCGTGACCCGAGCCCAAGGCAGTCACTTAACCAACTGAGCCACCCAGGCACCCCTGGGCCAATTTTTTTAACCTGATTCTGTTTTTGTCTCTATTAATTGGCAGTCACAGAATTTTAGCACCTGAAGGCACTGTGGAAGTCATCAAAACCCAGCCCTCTTAGCTTATTATTTAGGAAATTAAGCCCAGAGAAGTACAGTATTTACTTGCCCCAGCTGTGGTACCTTTCTTAATTCTCCCTTTGGGTTTTGTAAAGGTCAAAATACATTGTAAATTGTACAAAACTAAACATATTCCAAGTATTTTTTTTTTTTAAGATCTTATTTATTTGACAGAGAGCAAGCGAGAGCAGGAACACAAGCAAGGGAAGAGGGAGAAGCAGGCTTCCTGCTGAGCAGAGAGCCCGACACAGGGCTCCATCCCAGGACTCTGGGATCATGACCTGAGCTGAAGGCAGATGCTTAACAACCGAGCCACCCAGGCACCCCCATTCCAAGTATTAGTGACAGCATACCATTATATACCATTATTAAAATGTATATTATTACATAAGGGAATACTTAAGGAATAATGCCATTGGCAGGAAGGAAAAAAGTCATTTTTTGAATATTATTCTAAATTAATATTCAAGCCTAACAGAGCCAAACTTTACAGACCTATAGCTGCTTGTGGTTAAAGCTTCTGAGAAGAGTGTGCTAGGTTCCTTCTGGTGAATTCTCAGCCAGCAGTTTAGTTTACGTTGGTTAGAATCACTTGATTTGTCTGACATTGCAGAACATTGTGTTCTTACAACTCCAGTAGGATTTGAACCGAGATATTTGCTCAACTTCTATGTAAAATAATGTGCTCACCATCTATGAGCACAATAAATAATGAATGGGGGATTGGATTGGTTCAGAATGAATGAGTTTTCTCTTGAATACTGTCTCCATTCTTTCAGAAAAATAATGGAGCATGTTTGCTTACTTATGTGTAAAATTCTTATAAATGTCTATTGATTAAAGTTTTCATCTGGAATTCTCCTTAACTATCAGTGGGCAGTAGTACATTTTTCTTTTGTAACTCCTGCTACATTCCTATAAATATAAAAAGGGGGAATGAAGAAATAAAGTTGACATCAAACCTAATGTCTGGGAATACTTAAAGTTTATAAATGCTTAGGCTGATGTTCAGCAGCAGTCTAGTATCCTTCAGCTAAAACGACTGGTTAAGTATGTGCATTACCAGTAAAATCCCAAGACATGCATGAAGTTGGGGATGTACCTTGAATTTTATTACTGCGTGTCTCTTCTTGTTCACCTGCCTGAGGTTAATCAACCAAATTCCAATGGTAAATCCCAAAGAAAGGGGATTTTGGCTTACCCAGATTTGCATCAGCATGGTATGATTGAACACAGAGCCAAAGATCAGCTCAAACTTGAATTCAGAGGATACCTTTATAAAGCAGCGAGAGTAGCGAATAGTGTGAAGATAATGTATAAGAAAATGCATCACAGTGTGGTGTAGAATGACATATTCTGCCTTTCTCCTTTTTCTAAAAATAATACATTCTGAGCAGTTCTATGAGAGAGACCATGCCAGAGCCCAGGGTTTATTTATATTTCTGATATTTCTTTGTCCTTCTCTCATTCCTTCTCCGTCTTCCTACTTCCCTCCCAGTTTTTCTCTCCCTCCAGTTTTCGCCCATACTTACCCCTGTCCAGCTCCTCATTATCCTCCCCTCACTGTGCTCCTCCTGCTTAAAGATGCTCAGCTGTGGAAATGCCTGCCCCGCCCCCAAACCTCCCAGCTGGCATTTACAGAGAAGATGGTGATGGGTGGAGATAAGCCCAGGGGTATCTGGAGCCAGCTTGCACATGCCCTCATCACCCCTTTTCCCCATGTTCCTCACGTAATCTTAAATGTTCACTGTCCTCTCTTCCCATTTCAGGTTGGAAATTAAGCCCCGTAGTTGGAGCTGTATATGGCCCTGAGTTATATGCAGGTAGTATTTCGTTAATTTTTCCATTTGTGAGCACGTTAACTGTAACACATCTGTTGTTGTTCAATTTACTATTCTTTGTAATCTTTTTGCATTTTTTTAATTTTTTTTTAAATGCAATCAGCATCCAGCTTTCAAGCAGACGTGTCCCTAGGCAATGATGCAGCAGTGCCCCTATCAGGAAGAGGGGGTATTAACACTTACATTCCTTTAATCAGTAAGTAGCCTATGTCGGCCTGGCGTGGATTTTGACTGTTGTGAGTAAACAGTGATGTGTGCTAGTCTTTTTTTTCTTCCTCGAGTATAATATGTAACTGAAGAGGAGGCCTTCTCGAGAGAGTTAAATGCTGTCACAGTGCCCTGTCCTGCTTAACCTGTGTTAGAATCTTTCTGACCAGATATTAAGATTGCCACGAAGCATAAATAGTTGGAAAAGGTCGAGGGGGGTGAGGACATGTGTAGAACATTTTAGTCTGCACTTGATATTAAAGAAAACCAAAGAATTGGTACTTGTGGAATATATTATGTTCTCTGCAAGTCAGCTCTGGGCCCTCTAGTAGAGTATCATTTAGAAGTACGTCCAGTATTAATGATTATTCTCCACTCTGTTGATACCTCTAAAGTCATTCTGACCTGAGCCATTTTGCTCCAGCAAAAGGTATAATTAAAAAGAGTTCAGTGAACACGAAATAAATGTTTCTGTGTGCTTTCCAAAGGATAGCACACTTAAAATAGACCTTTAGAAACTGCCTGCCTCCCTAAAGGCCACAAGATTACAGGGGAGAAGTCGTTTCCCTCTCCCCTTACATTTCTGGATTAAAACATTTTAGATAAAAGAATAAAGTGGACTAATGAAATGTCTAAAGATTATTGTGTGCCTTGGAGATTGGCACCATGTACAAACACAAAAGACTGTTCTTACGAAGAATAATTATTATATTGCATAGTAACATGGGAAAACAAGACTAATAATTGGCCAGCTAAAGAGTTTATATCAATCCATGTAAACTGCCCGCAGAAATGAAGTCTCATCTCTTATTATGGCAGTAGTTCTCAGAGCTTCTTGACCTGTTTCTCACCAAGCGTGCGTTGTAAATGCCAGAATTGAGAAGGAGCAGAGTAACCTCACTCAAGATGGGTGATGAACAGAGCGTGCATCGTTAGCCTTGCATATTGGGTCTCTCCATTTTTTTCTCAGAAAAGGTGGGGTACATATCTTTCCACCTTTCCTGGAATTGGTTCAAAGCAAGTTGGGATTGTACCCCCTGCTGTTGAATGCAAGTTGACATTTCTGTCATATTTTGGGTCTCCCTTTAGTTCCTGGCTTCCCTTACCCGACTGCAGCCACCACGGCGGCCGCTTTCAGAGGAGCCCATCTGAGGGGCAGAGGGCGGACGGTATACGGTGCGGTCCGAGCGGTACCTCCAACAGCCATTCCCGCCTATCCAGGGTAAGCACGAGATTCCAAAATAAGCAGCTGGACGGAAAAGAATACCATGGCCCTCTCACAACTTCTGGAACGTTGCCGTGCCACATCGTAGAGATTCTATGAATATTTGTAAATTAATGGATTAGATGGCAAGAACCAAAATAGACCATCATCAGAATGTAACACAATATCGATTCGTTATATAAATCTTCATTTTGGCCACCTTAAGCCCTCGTGGTAGTGGCTTAAGACAGCAGCCAGAACGGTCTTGTGTTGACTAGCAGTGTGTTGGCATGGAGTTCACTCAGCATCGCACGAATATGGATTAACACTACTGCAGAGAACCAAAATAGGAGCTCAAGACTGTAGTCCAAGACCGCATCTGCTGTGCTCACCCCCTTATCACCACCCTGTGTTGGGGCTGAGGCTACCACATCGCCCTCCCTTTTGGTTTCACTGCCTGGGTGGTGAGCAGCAGAGCTAGCTACCCACAATGGATTTGCTTTCTTTGTAGGAAACGGATTAAAAGAGGTTAATTCAAAGATGAACCAAGTCCAATTGAATCCAGGGAGAAAGGGAGAAGTAGGAAGAATTAAACTACAGTTGGCTTCTGAATGATGGTAAAACAACTAATGTAGCTGAGCATCCCTCACCCTTTGATTTTTGTATGGAGGGTGTCTCACGCAGTGGAATGATTCCATAGCAACAAATCAATCCTTTGCTGTTTGAACGGGGGAGGAGTGAAGGTGGCAGGTTTTGTTTTTTGTTGTTTTTCAGTGTTAGCCTAAAATGTATCTTTTTATGAAGAGTGGACTTCAATAAGTTAGCTGTACTAAGGACTTTCTTTCTTCAAAGAGGCGACATTTGTGTTCTGCATCTTTTCTCTGCCAATGACAGGGTTTTTTCCATATTCTCTCAGAGAAAGAAATGCAGTGGCAGAGGAGCCTGTTCACTGCTACTTAGTTAAAACCCAAAGGGAAAGAGCCTCCTCTGTAGGTCCTTTTCTGACAGCAGAATTGGCTTTGAGGTATACTAACTTAGCATTCATTCATAGACCAAATGGACATGCCATTAGAGGTCCTCCGTTGCACAGAATTAAAGCATTTTTATTAGACAAGTATGCATGTTGAACTGGACAGGCTCCAAAAGCTGCCGGAAGGTAACTGCTTTAGAAATAAACTTTTGTTTGCAGTTTATAGATGTTTAAATCCCATGCATTCCATCATCTCCATCTTCTGCCATTACTTGCTTTTAATTTTATTCTTTCTTCTCTCAACTTGACCTTTGACCTTCAACCTCTGACATCTCTTTAAAGAAGTGAATAAAGATGCAGTATTATTTCATCAAGAAATACTCAAGTAAAATATAAAAACAAACCTTTTGGAAGTTCTGCACACCAGGAAAATTGTTCATGAAGCGCCTTCCATTTCAATCCAAGAGAGTTTACCGTCATGCTGGCAAAGCGATACCACTTACCAGAAACATGGGACTTTTTTATTTTGTAATCTTCCTGAGTTACTTTATAAAAACGGTTGGATTCGTTCCTATTCGATGTAGCTCATTTCAGTATATTGGCCAAACTTGAGAACCCATTCTCTGCCAAGTCTGTGTCAGGATTGTGTTCGCTCAAAGATATTTTTATCTTTATGTCTAATCATACCAATCTCTGTGCATTACATTGAACACTGATTTCCCATGTTTTCTTTTTTATTAACTAAACCACCGGTTTACAAGGAAGATGGCAAGGAATAAGTCCAGTATTATATGGGGAATGGCCTAAAATTGCTTTTCAGCTTAGTAAACTAATTTCATCATTAATCATTATGTTCTAGCTTCCTTGTGGCATTTGATACAGGGAATATTAGAATTCTTCTAGAATTTAGGTGAATATTCCCAGTGAGTGATGCAACTTAGGGTAAACTTAATTCGTGTTTTTAATGCCACCACTCTTCTCTGTCGAAGAGATGTTTGTCATCTTTGCCTGTGTCCCCTACTGAAATAGTTGAGGGTTAATTAATCACCACTTGGCTTCAGTGCTTTCCATTCGGTCAGCCTTCTCCTTATGAACAAGTGTCTTTTTTACTAAAATGCAGTTGAGAGGCAGATTACTTTCTAATATCAATCTCTAACTGCAGTTGGAAAGTATGAAAATGGATAGAACATAGTAGCTAAATGAGCATCACAGATGAATTCAATCTGCCTGTTGTGTAATACAAAGGCGCAGCATATTTGGGGCATTGCAAAGTGTGACCGTACTATCCTGTAAACCCAACAAAATACCATTGTAAATAGAATTCAGAAACTTTCCAGCTACCTGCAAAAAATAAATTATTTCATTTTCAAGTAAAAAAATATGATTTAAAGACCTCACTAGCTTATTATAACAGAGAAGATAGTGGTGAAAATTTCCAGCTTGCTTAGTTGAATAAACAATAAACATCTTCTCATTTAAAATATCCAAATCTTGATTTAACAAATGTGAAGAAGAAAGTCTTATCTTGTATCTCTACTGCTGTTTCATGTCTTTTGGTCCCAAAGTAATGTTTTGGGGGAAGTCTGTATGCACAGAAATACCTCAAAAGGTTTGAAATCTATGATTATAATAGTTTAGTGTTGCCCAGGATTTAAAAAAAAAAAAAAAATCCATGTATTTTGTTTGATACAAATTTATTTTTCTAAACAGGAAAATAAACCCTTCTATTCCTAATCAGCTACTTTCCCAGTTTTATCCTTTTAAATAAAACAGGATGATCCTTAGTCATGCCCAGAACGTCAGTTATCAATTCTGTTTTTCAGAGTTCCAGGAATATGTTTATGGTCAAAAAAGAACCCTTAAAATCTTCCAGTTCCTCCTTCCCGCTCTGGATTATATTGTTACTATCTGGGATCCCCACTGCACCTTTCAATTCTTGGACCTTGGACCAATCACCTTAACCTTTAGCTCATTATCTCTGCTTGTGAAAGCAATGCATTGTGGGTATTTTTGGTTGTGTTTTTTTTTTTAATTACATTTCTCTGTTTACTTTGGTCAGAATTGATTGACTTGTTTTTCTGAGGTGTTGCATTGGTTCTTAAAATGCTGAATAATAATACTCTGCATGCTTGTGTGATCAGCCAAATCTTATCGCATGTCTAATGTGCAGGGTAAAAAAGCAGGTGATGTATGGATATCAGAAAAAAAAATGTACATACTTCTAGGAAACTGAAAACAAAATACTAAACATAATTTTGAAACATACTCTACATACAGGTCCTGCCCTGATGGAATTCTTTGGGTTCGTTTATTTTTCACGTTAGATACCTCTTTCCGTGCCTCTCCCCCCACCGCATACACATGCAGTCATTTTGAAACTCTTTAAAGAAAAATTTCCTCCTAGGGCAAGCTTTTAAAAAAAAACAAAAAAACCCAAGTATGAAAACTTGATGTTTCTCATCCAGCAGATTTCCGATAGTTCTATTAGGCCCTCTGGGAATGCTTTTTATTGTTGTAATCTTCCTGTAATGACCAAGTATCCAGGTGTCCATTCCAGTTTTGCACTCCTCCCCCTCCTCGCATGCCCTGGAGCTGTATAACGTGCGTGTGCACCTGCACGGTCCTCTCACGCGCTGCGGCCCCCAGCCCCCGTTATGTATTCATACATCACCTGCCTGTGTAGAGCGCATGTGCATGCTGCCGTCCTCAATAACCGGAATGTGTTTCTGTTCTTTTGTTTTTTTGTTTTTGTTTTTGTGTGGATTTTCTGCAGTGTGGTTTACCAGGACGGATTTTACGGTGCTGACCTCTATGTAAGTACACACACTGGGGCCTTCTCGACCCCATTCCCTGACAAGCCAGCCTTTTTTTTTCTGTTTCTTTGGTTTGGTTTGGTTTTTTGTTTTGTTTTGTTTTACATATAATTTGTTTAATTTTTATTTTCTTTTTCCTTGTGGATATATATATATATATATTTATATATTTAAGAATGCAAGCATGCTTCTCTGCCACTGCGCTTGCCCCTGGGTGCAAAAACTAAGCCTTTGGGTTTCCTGAACATTGCTAGAGTCAGTCTACTGGACATATTCTTTTCCCTTCCCTATACCCACAGATGTTCTGTGTATCAGTGATTTATTTGCGAGATGATCAGCAGGTTTAAAGTCTTTTATTACTGTCGTGTCATGTGCATACATAAATAACAGGATAGTTAACATTAGCTTATACCAACTCTCTTCTCCGCTTTTCTTCTCATTTCATATCCCTCTTTAGATCATTGGAGCTTTGATTTAAGATGGCAGTAAGCTTTCTGAACTATGTGTTTTCCTATTTTATATACTTTTGAGAGAGCATTACCCTGTGAAAGGGGAGGAAGGAGCTGATGCCAGTGAAGAGTGGGGATAAAGAGAAGAAACCAGGCACTCAGTGCTTCCGGCCCTGCTTTATCAAAAAGGTCCACAACTGGTGGGTCTCTTTTCTTAAGAGCCGTTTAGAGGGAAATGAGTGGCATAACTAGAAACCTAGACTCTTCTTACAAACGTTTGACTATCATATAGGATCTGTTGATTTTTCTCAGCCATGTTAACGTCATTATTATTATCCATTATTGAAACTGTCTTGTTATATCGTGATTGGTTTGTCACATATTATTTAAAATGTGGACAAAGTGATCTAACTGACAAAGAATCCAAAAGTTTTTGAGCTTTGAAATCTTTTATTAAGACCTCTCCAGATGATCTGTTTCTGAATGCAAGCTTAGTCTAACCATCCAAATCATTAAGAAATTTCTTAAGAAAAACTTGTCAGCATGAAATTACTCCTTGGGCAAAGGTTAGAATTGTCCAGAAATGCTTTCTCCATCCTTACCTCCCCAAATCGATAAGGATATGCCTTTGCAGTGAACTGTTTCCACAGATTTCTGCCAGAGATTCTCTGGCAGTCAGAAAACTTTAATGTACTTTCAGAATGTACTTAGAGGTTCTGTGTGTTGCAGGAGGTAAAGATAGGTTAAAGCAGTCTTCTTGGGATACTGTAGGTGCCTGGACGCACCTGTCCTATTTAGAGTAGACTTCCGAAGTTTGCCTTAGTTTAACAAATGCTGAAAGGAATCTTAGCCATGAATTGGTCCAACCCTCTCACTTCATTATATACATTTCTTAGATTGTGACTTACCCAGATTACATCAGTTATTTACATAGCCAAGCACAAAACTCAATCCCTATTTCATTACCTCTTGCAGTGCTTTAATTAAAATCCACATCTTTCCTCAGATGGTTTTCAAGAGGTAATGAAAGGTACCTTTTTTTCCGGTGCTCACAGTGAAACTTGAGGGTTGGGGGAATATTCCTGCTTTTATACCAAATGACACTTTTCTAAATATATGTATTTGCATATGATCTTAGCATGTACATTCTCCCATACACATTAGTATCCATATTTTCATGAAACTCATCTTTATGTTATTTAAATTGTTTTCCTGAAATTTGATTTATTAGAGCATGCCTTTCCACTGGAATTATTTCTTAAAGGTGTTTTTTTTTTCTTCTCTCTCTCTAATATCTTATTTGGGGATTTTTTTTTTAAGTATGGCTTACTTCTACCTTATTAAGATTTGCCTACTTCCACCTTGTTTAAGTGAACCAACCAAATATTTGCTTACAGTTCTCTTATTTCCTTAGTTCACAATGTGTGATTTTATTAAGAGAGAGATGATTTTTCTGTACTTAACTGAGAAAATACTCTTGAAAAAAAATTTTTTTAATCTACTAACTGGATCACCTTATGAAGCTAAGTAGAAATAATTTAGAGACCTTGCTGAAATACTTGTTTGATCAGTTTTCTTAACAAAAAGAATTAATCATAATGTTATCATTTCTTAGTTCCTATCTTAAAGCAGTCACTTAAAGGGAAAAGTTGGTCACCAGTGCTTTTGCAATATCTGACCCCACTACATAATGAGGTGTAGCTGTTGAGTGAAGGCTCATGTAACTACAGCTTAGAGAACTTAATATTCCCACTTCCAGATGTGAGGGAGCAAGGGATGCTTCTTTTAAACACACACACACACACACACACACACACACACACACACATCTTCTTTTAAACACACACACAAACACACACCCCTCTGTGTTTCCTTGAGTTTGTTCTCCTTCTCTCTGTATATTTTCCCGCCTGTGGAAATCTGTCCATATACACGGAGTCCTTGTTTCCTCAGAAATACAGATGAGCAGTAGGACGAGTGGAGGGTTCGTCCATTACACGAAGTGCACCAAACCAGAGCTTGAAGGAACATCATGAGGAAAAAGTTTAAGCTGCCCGTTTTATCTTAAGTTATACTAATGTAGGCTGTTAATTGTGGAGATTTTTTTTTTTTTTAATCTCTTTGCCTGTTCTGTTGTTAGTCCGTAATTGCTGCTAGCCATTTTCTTCTTTTCTGTTTCTTTGGTGGCTCTTGCCTCTCTGGGGCACTGACCGAGCAGTTGTGCCCACAGTCTGTAGAGAGACCACAGTGAGAAGCCTTGAGTGTAGCGGACAGATCGTGTGCCCTCCCCACCCCTCTTTTTCTTGACCAGTAGAAAAGGCATGGCTCACCCTAATTCACTTTTTAAAGGGATAACAAACTGCTCCTAATTCTTACCCTGTGAAAAGCATGCTTGCATCCAAAGGAAAGAAAAGGCTGGTGGGCCCCTTAGCGGGCTTTTTGTATGATTGTTTTCCTTCCACAGCTGTGTTTTTTGAACTGCTCTTCCTGTGTTCTGTTATAGAATAGTCTTACAGGAACCAATCATTAGCGCTAAAATACCTCAGGTAGGAGTGCCAGTGTGACCTGCCAATCAATCAGATTGTGGATTGCAGTGAAAAAATTGAATTATACTAACCATTCCAGCTCCACGTTAGAGATGGGAACAGAGGCTTTTTTGGACAACCGAGACTTGTGAGCGTGTGATCTGAGCCCTGCTACCTCAGCAGCGTGCAGTCAAGTTCTATGCGTGATGTCACCTCCTCCAAAATTAAGTGCTCGCGTCCCATTGCCGCTGTCCACACCAGGCGGGTGCTGTGCACTGTCCCATCACGGCCGCCTCTCTCAGTTTGTCAATCACATTTCTCCATGGCGTTCAAACTGGGCTTTTATACTTGGAGATCTTAGCAGGTGGAGACATCTTCTCTCCACCAGGAAAGAAATGAGGAAAGGGAGGAAGTCGAGTCTGTGCGGACAGGACTCCTGAATTCCCGATTGGGTCCCCCCAGTAAGACCGTAGTAGTGAGTGGGCCGTGCTGTTACCTAAGTTTGAAGTTGCCTAAAAATCTAGATCCACTGGGACTCTAAAACTTGAAATATGCATTGCCCTTGCCCTCTTTGCCTTTCTCCTTGAAACAAGGTCAGTGAGTTCATTTGGATAATAATGCACTGTTCAGTTTGCTGATAGCTGGATGCTCAGGGGAAGGACAGCAGACAGCCTGTCACAGTTCAGCTAGTTTCTTTTTGTGCCTACCCAGCGAGATTTGAGAAATGAACTAATTTGGGGAGAAGTGAAATAGTGGAGTGTTTGAGAGGTTTGATTCATTAAAGATCATCTCTCATCTACCATTGAAGTCGTAAGTGGAAGATAAGTTGATCATGACCGTTTCTTCCCCTCGCCCCAATTTTGAATAATAATAAAATAATATGTAAATACTTCTCCTTAAGACCTTTTCATATCTACTTTTCAAAGTAGATAGGTGACTGTCAAAAATAGTAACAATATCCTCATTATTACAAGTGTTGGTATTCACGTCTGTATTAACTCACATTTAATCAGGGGTGCCATATTGCCACAGAAGAACGGTCTCCTAAGAGCCGCTCCTGCAGGGTCCATCTAGGGCGATGGCTCTCGGCTGGAGTGGGAAGGAAGTGAGAGAAGGGAGGGGTTAGAACTGGGCAGAGACAAATAAAGTGATGCCCAGAGGCACAACATTCAACCCAAGCTCCTTGGGCTGGATCCTGCTCCCTGTAGTGATGTTAAGCACCACATCTGCCTTTCTCTCCACCCACCCACCCCACCCCTACTCCCCTCGCTCTATAAATCTGTACACCACGTGCAGGGAACAAGCTCTCATTTTGTCTGCTGGTCTTGAAATACACACTCTTCTCGGTGTCACATAATGTAACTGTCTTCCAGGTAGAAAGAAGGTGTCTTGACATCACATGCTCACCAAAGTCCTGTTTTAATGTAAATCTGAAACAAAAATATAATAAAATTAATGGCTAGGTTAAAATCAAGACAAGGGGAGCGTCTACCCATGTGAGATCATGCTAATAGAGAATGCATATAAAGGTCAGATACGGGAGAGGTGGATATGTAGAGCCCTTCCATCTTGTTCTGGTTAAAACAGAACTATTTTAGAAAAGTCCTGTGGTCAGTGTGGCAACATTATAAAGTTAATTAAATGATAAAATCGATTCAGAATGGAGTAGAGAATCCCTAGCAGGTGTTGATGGATCCTGGACAGCTGAGACTTGAACAACAAAAGGATCTTAAAGGTAACCACGCTTTCCTGGGAAAGAGCTGGAAGTTGAAGGCAGGGATGTGTCATGGATATGTGAAAAGATAGACCGCTTAAGCCCGGGAACTACGTCCGAAGAACCCTGGGTCAGAATGGATGGGTGCTGCCCGAAGGCCAGCGCCCAAGCTCACTCCGTGGGTCAAGACTAAACCTCACTAGCAGGGTCAGGAAGGGTGCGTAGGGGAGTGATGATGGAGTGTTGGGCTGCCCCTGTTGGGGACACTCCGGAGGCATTCACAGTGAGTTACAAAGGAATAAGAAAGTAATCCTTTTAAAGGAGCACGCGTGTATTTGGACCAGGCTCAACCATGCCAAATGTGTCCAGCCATCAGAGTTCCAAAAAGCAGTCCGTGTGTGCCCTCCTACACTAGGGTGTGCTGTGGCCATGCTAATCCCCATTTTTTGTTTTATTTCAAATCACACACAGATAGAGTCTGCAAACTGCTTCAGATCCAACAGGTCTGATTGTGTGTAAATACATATGTCCTTTTTAATTTTTATTCTTAATGGTTGCTTCAGTTTTGCATCAGTGCATGGTTAAAAGCAATACACATCAGCTATTTCATGACTTCATATCTCCAAATGAATTATTTCTCCTCTTTTTTTTTTGTTTGTTTGTTTGTGCAGTCAGCTGAAGACACGTTAACATCTCACTCTAAATCTCTCAGTGGAGTCTCTGTTCCCTTCTCTGATATAACAGATGGGTTACTGCTTGTTATAATTATTAACATTGTGGTGTGGGCCAGGGCGAGGGGGGGTGACCTTGACTATTTCCTTGGTCTGGGGAGGGCCAGTTGTTAGGGTCTGGAATGTTAACTCAAGTGGTGACTGACTGTTTCCGTAATAGCAGGGTTGTTGTGGCTGCACGCTCTAGTAATTGAGGCTGTGTACTTCACCGAGCTTGCGGTAGAGCCTAGGGCAAACCGCTGTCCCAAGAGAATGCTGGGATAGATAGAGTTAGCCAGTACGAGTCTGAACGCGGTGACTTTGCTGGTCGTTTTAGCTCCAGATGTTGGCATGCTTAGTTTTTAATGTGATTAATCAGTGTGGCGCCATTACCCCCCCCCCACGCCTGAACCCTGTCTCTCCTACTGCCTTCCCCACCCTTGTTCTTTTTGAAAAACTTAAGAAACAGTAATGAAAACCTTGGTGTTTCAAACTGCACTTTGTTCTCATGTTCTAGAAAAGATTTCAGACTTGCTAGTTGAGGTGATAGTTGAGAAAACAATTTCTCGGCCTGGAAGCTTGATGCACTCCGAAATCGGAGTAGATGAATAAATACATCTGAATTTTCTTTGTCTTACAGTTTTTGATATATTTTGTTTGAAGCAGCAGCAGAAATGCTTGGGTAAGACTCCATCTGAGAGAAGTAAATCCATGATATACAATTTAACTTTTCTAATTTGGGGATAGTCACCGATGAATGACCACACTAGTTTATTGGAATATTATCTGTCCATCCTGAACATAACCCCACCACCACCACCTTAAAGGGCCTCTCTGTAGCACCATTGTAATGAGGAGAGTAGTCACTGAAATATTATCAGCTTAAAAAAAATCAGTGTAGTTTTTCTTAATGCTGATATTCTTCTCATGCCTTTTGTTGGCAACAAAATATTTGTATCCCTGTCCCGTTTTCCTGAATTTAAATAGCAAAGAACCTCATCAAATTCAAACTCCAAAGTCTGAGTCCACTTATAATAGAAGGAAACTACTACAGATAGTCTCCTCGTCTCCTTCTGGTTTGGAAGGAAACTTCTTTCCCACAGTCTGATCTATTTTGAATTGTTTTGGTTAACAATAACATTACCCCAAAACCATTGCAGTTCTGATGGCTTCTTACAGGCTGAGGAAGGGGAGGGGAAGTGGTCCTATCAGTAACCTCATTCAGAACCTCTTTTTACAGCATTAGTGCACTACTGTTCAAAGCTATGATTTGATAGAATCCCCAGTATCTCCGACTTTACTGAGACTTTCTGAGAGGTCAGGACTTTTGAGCCTCAGAATCCCTTAATGGGAATGTATACTCTGCCCTGTGGCATAGAACTTCAGTTTGTAAATGTTTTGCTCAGGTAAACATAAAGTGGGCTTTAACTGCTTTTATTACCTTGACTTTTTTAAATTTTTAAAGATTATTTTGGTGTTTGAAGGAATGCTAAGGAGACAAACCACATACTGCTTGTTTACCACATTATCCTTGTTTACAAAGAAGTTTTACTAAAATCAGCCCTGCTATAAACTTCACACCAGCAAACTTCAGTTCTAAACTTAATGGAATCATCTAGTTATAATGAAAAATTGAGCCTTTAAAGGTTCATTTAAAGCTGAAAATTTCAACTATAAAGATTAACCTGTTGCTTTAACAGATGTTTTTCCTAAAAAGGAGTAAGGTAAAGAGACCCTTTAGTTTATAACGCGTGTATGTGTAGGTAGATACAGCACAGATGCAGGTACGGCAGGGTATATGATGCAGCCTGGGGTGTGTAGCTTTGCCCAGACCAGCCTGGCCTGCCCGTTCCTGTAGACCTGGCTGGATGTCAGAGCAAACGTGTTGATCACACTACAGCCCCGAGGGTGCTTCCTGTTGTGTTTCTGTCCTCTACCATTTCATTGTCAGTGTTGGGTAATATTAATTAGAATCTTCTGATGTATATAGATACCTGTGGAAGAATTTGTAATTAAGAAAGAAATGTTTGCTTTTCTGAGTGATTCACTTGAAGAACAAAGAGGAATAATGCATGACTATTGAAATTCAATCAGGGATACTTTCAGTGTACATTTGAAGCTGCTTTGGATGGCTTCAAGCAGCATACATTTAGAGAGCAGGAGTAAATGCTCCTCCATAATGCAGTGTGTTCACTTGGAGAAAGAATAAATGAAATGGTGCCTAAGTGCACCAGCTGAACATAGTTATATCTGATAGGGAGAAGATAGTAATAAAAATTCACTCCTGAATTAGGTTTAGGTGAAATAGATGAATTCTTGAAGGTTAAAGAAGAGGAAAACATAGGGCTTGCCACTTTTTAAAATAGCCTGTCTCATGTGGCACTTAACTGTTGTGTTTATCTTCGAAATACTTAATGGGAAGTACTTACGGTTCACCCTGACAGTGAAAACCTTTGGGGTATTTGGTTCCTCTAAACTGAGGGGAGGAAACAGGATGTGGGAGTCTTAAAGTCTCCAGGACTGAGAGGATATTGGGCCCATTGGCAGAAGAGCTCCAGAGCCTGCTACGAGATTGGAGTGGAAGAATCTCCGAATCTTTTGGGAGAGGAGAATAAATGCAGTTAAATGCCCGGGGCATGGAGGGAGGGCTTCCTCACCTAGGTGAGTCCCACCTCAGGGTCCTGGGCCGTTTGTAATGTGATTTGTCTGAGTCTGAAATGTAGATCAGAACTGGCAGGTTTTTGCTCTGAAGGGCCAAGTGGTAAATATTTTCGGCTTTGGAGGCCAGACAGGTCTCTTCACACCTGCTTTCAAAAGCAGGTGGCAAGCTGCGTCGGCTCACAGATTGAAGTTTGCCAACCCCTGATCTACGCTGGGTTTTCCTTCTAAATGTTGCCCGGTTATCTTAGCCTCTTGGCAAACGTGCGAAGCCTGATGGAGCACAGCACTATAGAGGACCTTTCCATTACATACCGTCCGTGGTCTTAGCGGTAAATCCATCTGAGAATCTGAAGTTAACACATACAAATTTAGTATGTTCTAGTTCTATAATTTACATTCCCCGTCAGGTAAAGTTCTCCCAACTCCCTGCAGATATTTGCCCTGTGAAGACTGTGAAGTAAGACAGATCTGAAATCCTATCGTCGTTTCTTAAATCTGAGAACAGGTCCTACTGAGAGAGTTTTTACTTTTGTTACCGTCCCACACTGGAGAGCACATCCCTGCATTGGGTGGAGCTTCATTCTGTGCCAGAGGAACGATAACATGCAGACCGAGGCAGTTTGAAACATTCTTCCCCCACGTGTGTGTCTGTGTTTGTGTCTGTCCCCGTGTCGTCGTGCGCGTACGTCTGCGTGTGGGTGGGTGTGTGTGCGGCCGGCCCTGGGGGGGAGGTATCTGTAAAGTCAGTTCTCTTCTCTCCTGTAGGGCGGATACGCAGCCTACAGATACGCACAGCCCGCTACCGCGACTGCGGCCACAGCCGCCGCCGCCGCCGCCGCAGCCTACAGCGACGGGTAGGTGCCGCCCGCCGCCCTCCTGTCACCGCCGCCACTTCTGCTCCGCCGCTCCCGCTTGGTCTCCTTGTCCCTTTCTGGCTTTGACCCCGCTCTCCCTCTTCCTCATCCCCAGCTCCTTTCTCTCCCGCCGTAGAGAGGTACTTGAGAATTTTTCGGAGTTACTGCATTTGGGAGTAGAGAAAGTTCCCCAATAACATTCCAAGACCAAGTCTCCCCCAAGTCTTTAGCACAGTAAACCCTGTCATTCTTGTAGCGCACAGCCTTGGCCTGATCTCCCTGATTGTATTTCCTCTTTCAGTTACGGCAGGGTGTACACAGCCGACCCATACCACGCCCTTGCCCCTGCCGCTAGCTACGGAGTTGGCGCTGTGGTGAGTATGACATGTGCCCTTTTTCTTCTTAGCCACTTTACTCCTTTTACCTTTTGCCTACAGATCCCAAAAGATCTAGAGAGGTAACAAATTCAGCCCCTCTTCCATTGCCAAAGTCCTGAAGCCACAGAAGACTGTCTGGAAAGTTCGTATCAGCTTCTTTATCTGTGTGTCGTAGTGTGAGCCACTTGACCTGGTTAAGGGCAGGGAGGAATGAGCTGTGACAGTCTACCCTGAGTAACGGCATCATGTGGGAGAGAAAGAAAGGGAACAGGTTGACGTTTTATATTGGCTCAGCTGTTGGATGCATGCCTGTGGCTTGGTTTAATCGATAGGTGTTAGCGAAGATGTAGGGGCATGAGATTTTCCAGCTTTCACAGTAAGCTTTTCAAAAAATGGACATTAGTTTCAGATGCAGATACCAAAGGCTGTCCCTGCCATGCCCGAGCCTTCTGGCAGGTGGTGCTGGAAATCACCAAGTGAATGCCTTACAGTAACATTTGTGGCAAAATAGGGTATTTTCCTGGAAGTGTAGGAAAGGTCCATTGAGCTCATATAGAAGAACTCCCCACCCCTAGCCCCCTCCAACCGAACTGGAATCCTCACGGCAGTATTTCTTTGTTGGCCTGGATGCCTCCGGGCTGCAGCAGAGATGGGCTGTTCACAGCAACATCCCTAATGTTCTCAGCCGGGCAGCAGCCTGGGCATGTGGACAGAGCTGTTGGACGGGGAGGCAGAGTGATAAATGAAATTTGGCTTAGAGGAATATGAGAGAGCCCGTCATTTCTCACACTCAGTTTCTACTGCTATGAAGATTTGTGGGAGGAAGTAGCAGGGTCCTAAGGGAATGTAGGTGTGGAATTGAGGTAGAGACAGACAAGATAAAGACAGTGATGGAAATTCCTGAGATTTTATGTGCCAAAAAGATACAAGTCCAATCCTGAAGAAGCAAAGAAAGAACAAAGCCCGGTTAAAACTCCACAGAGATAGATAGAAATAAATTCGGGTATGTCCACAAGCAGCCTAGTTGGCATATATTCTAGATTATACAGGAGCTAGACATGAGGAGTTGAAAGGTTGACTCCGGTTTAAATCGAGCACCATCTCAGACATGGTACGTGACAGCTAGTGGTGAGAGGAGCCTGTTCTCCACGGACAGGTGACGTGTACGAAGGTAAAATCAGCTAGCTGCTTCAGGTCACAATTGTGATGATGTGATCAAGGTAAACAAAAACTCGTGCTTTTAAACGTCAGATTATTTACAGATCTGGTTTTAAACTGTATTGAGTTTGAGTTTCCCTTCTGTGCTGATTGATGTAAATAATGAAATGAAGCAGGGAAAGGAGAATATCAGGTCCTCAGTAAGTGTTCTGGGCTCTGGTTTGAGCGTCTTAGAGGCAGAAGTCCGTTTCCTGACTTCACTGCACTACGTAACATCTTACCAGTTGCTTTACAGCTTCTAAAGAAGCTGTTTTTCCAAATCCCTTTTCAGGACATTTTCCTTCATTTTCAGTGCTTCTCTCATCAACCTTTTAATTACTTTTATGTCTTTAATTACTGCAGGCGAGTTTATACCGAGGTGGCTACAGCCGATTTGCCCCCTACTGAAGTGACGTGAGACCCTGCAAATGGGACAGCCCCCCAGTTCATGAGGCCTGGCTATTGCAATATTTACTAGTAGAGGAACTCTATAGCAAGATGAAGAGGAAAAACAAACAAACAAACAAACAAAAAAAAATACAAAAAAAGAGAATACTTTTTTATACCTCACTATGTTCTTTGAATATGTATTTTTTTCCTTTACATTTCTGCCTTTAATTCTTTTGTTCCAAAGATTGTGCATTTTTTTCTTTCTTTTTCTTTTTTTTTTTAAACTGTGGTAAAAAAAAAAAAATAATGCATTTCCATGTCTGTATGTCCGTGCTTAGCTTATTCTGTCAATCACGGAAGAGGCAGTTAACGAGGAAGGGGAGACCTTAGGAGCTGATGAATGCATGTGATCAGAAATCAGCAGACAGAGCTACCAAAGTGTATCCGGTGCTGAGGGCTGGGGGACGAACAGAAGTGGAGGAGATCTGTCTGCAACAGGATATTCTTCTAGTCTTCTGAGTTTCTGGTCTTCGGCAGGCAGTTCTGCTTGGCTCTTGCTGGAATCCACATGCTGATAGATGACAGGAGTTTGTGCTTGCAAAGCAGGAGGACTGAAAAGACACTTTCCTCTCCTCTTCCCTCCTGTCTTCTCCATTCTTTTTACAATCATCTTAACCTGCACAGCCTGAGACCGTTGGCATCGTTTTTGGAATTATAATATTAATATTTCCAAACATGCTCTCAGACTGTGGATAATAAACACCTCATTAGGAAACCGATCTCAGAATGAACTCTGGAGTGTGAAAAAGATCATTCTTTTCTTTCCTGAGATCCTAGCATTCCTGCTGGGCTTCTTCCCCTTTCTCTGAACCACAGCTTAGCTCATCTGTCCTTCTATAAACTCCCTACTCCCAAGTCCTCAAGAGTCAGGAATTTAGGACCCAGGGACAGGAGAATAAATAGCGACCAGATCTCCCGGCTTGAGGGTTTAGAAGTACGAAGCGTTGGGAGCCAGTAAAGAGGGTAAGGAAGAGAAAAGGGGTATCAGATGATGTCTGGCAGGGCTCTGATAGTCCTGTGCTTTCTCTTGCATCAGGAGGTCAGTACAAGGTAGGAAACATATGGAGAGTGTTGGCAAAAGATAAAGCTCCGAGTCCCGGGGTGGCTGTCCCTGGAAGTTTGTGGTGATTGGGGCATGTGAGGGCAGGCAAAGGCACTTTGTACTAACTAGCTCCAAAGCCATAGGAATTCCCATCTTCCAGAGCATTCTGTGAGCCACTTCTCTGTCCATGGTTTTGAGCTCTCGTGGCCACTCCGCCCGGCTTCTCATTTTCCTCCAAAGACACCCAGCCGAGCACCGACTGCTTGGCATACATGAACACTACAGGAGATAAAACCCAGAGCCCCTGAGGCTCCTCCCCTCCCCTAGTGGAAGGAGGGTGTGTCCTGGCAAGGATCTCACATGTTGCCAGAAGAGTCGTGTTGTGACCACAGCGGTGAGTCACTGCTGTGGCTGCCTGGCTTTGATTTTATACATATGGACAAGGCAGGGGAGAAGGTGTTTCTCTTCTAGCTATTAGCTGTTAATGATAAAGGCAAGGGTCCTGCAGCATTTCCAAAATGACGGCATTAGAAAACAGAAAAGCACGGTCTGTTTGGCTCCCTGGTCTATTCACATTGGTACTAGGGTGACCTCTCACCCAAGGGATAGCTGCTAAAGGGAGTAATTCAGAGACATGGAGCTTCTGGTTTGTTATGGGTTTGTTTTCCGTTTGTTTTGTTGTTGTTGTTGTTTTTTTCTTTTTTTTTTTTACTCCTGCCTCCACACGTGTTCTTGACTGATAACTGATTCATGTCCCTGAATTAAAATGACTGACATATGACAGCATCAAGCATTCTTTGTAAGCAGAGTGATCTGTCCGGGAGGGACTGGCCTATTGTGTAAAATACCTATCTTCTCCCCCTGTAAAACCTTCTCTCTCCTGATGACTGGGAGGAGAGGCTGTGCCTGAAACGAGGGGAGACATCAATGAAGCTAGAGGCCTCGATGCAATCTTACTAATTCTGGGGAGGAATGCATGGAATACGGGACGCCAAACTGCCTGGAGCCATTGGCCATTTGTAAGGGTTCCCCTCCCCAAGCCAAAGTTTGTTTTCGTTGCTGTTAAGACAATTTTTTTTGTATGTATATAAATATTTTAGTTAGAGGAAGGGGTATAGGATGTGGGGCTTTCACAGTTCTAGAGAATGGGGGCAGGGAGGATTTTTTTTCTTTTGCTTTTGTTTTGAGGGAGAGCTTTTACTCACTAAAGAAACAGAGAAATTTCATGTCATGTTCAAATAGGGGCCATTCACAGAAATGGCAAGCCACTGCTCAGTGGAGATAAGGCCAAATTTTAAATGGTTGTGTCTGTAGCAGGGGAGGAGAATCGGGGAATGAGTTTAGTAATTTTCTCTTCTTTTTTCCAAGAAAGAGACAAGGATGGTGGGCAAGGTAGAGAAGGCAGCTCCCACTGCCCTTTTAAAAGAGGCAGAAGCTCGAGCTTGGGCTACCTTTACTGCAGTTCAGTTCAGCTGGTTCTGGCTGAGGACTCCATAGGCAAGCTCTGTGCATTCTGCTGCATTTCCAGGGATGGTTGTAATCCGGCTTCCTCCAGTTCCCTTTTCTAAGGAAGGCTGAGCAGACTTCCACTTTCACTCAAGGGCCTCGGGCTCTTCAGCATCAGCACCGAGAATTGGAGCTCTTGTGAGCACCTAGATGAGATTGTAGCTGCCCCCCCATCCCCTTTTGAACTCTGAGACTCCGTACAGCCAGCTTCACCAGAGGCAGGTTCCTCAAAGCACCAGTGCTTGTCTGCTCCTGGCTCTGGTTCCCACTGGACTAAGAAACAGAGTCGGAAGAGAGTTTGGCATCTGTGGGTTCGTTAGAGGATGCTGGTTGATGATTCCAAAAAACACTGATGCTGAATCCCAGCACGTGAATGATTTCCACAGCTTTACTGTAGCTCATGACGTGGACTTCTGTACTTAGCGTCTTACTCCTAGAAGCCGGGCTCTTTTAAGGAGACTGCTAGTGAAAACCTTTTTCTCCTAACCCCTTTTCAGCCAGGAGAGCTGCCCTTAGGTCTTTTCTGGAATCCCTTGTGTTCCATGGTTCAGCTCCCGAAACCCCTGGCTCAACTATTGTGACTCATCTTTTTTAAGGCTCTCAGGTTTTCCCGAACTTGCCATCACCACCATCCTCTGACAGCCGCAGGTGGGATTGAGCCATGTTATTTTTCCTTGAAAAAGAAGGGGACTGGGACTCACCTCTTCGTTTAAGGGGATCTAGTGGAGATTATTCAATAAAAACCAGTGGTAGCAGCTTTTCCTCAAAAGTCTTACTCCTCAGGGGCTGAACTGCTCTTACTTTAGGTTCCCGTTCCTAGCGATGTAGCAGACAAGTAGGTGAGCACCACCCCCATCACCAGTCACTTAGCTTCCAGGTGGGAGGGAGGTGTAAACTCGGGATTGAAGCCGCCCTGATGATCTGCCAGAAGGGCTACCTTACTCCCCTTCCCTCGGACAGGAGAATGGGGCCAAGCCAGGGCCCCTCTGGAAGGCATGCCAGCCAGGAGGGGGAGGGAAACTGCTCACGCCCTTCCCTCTCACCAAGTCCAGCCTCCTCTGCTGCTTGCAACCTCTAGCACAGTAAGGTTTGCAGAATTGCAGACTCCCCCCCCCCCATGATAGGAAGAAAGGGACTTTGGGGGGTGGGGAAGGGATAGTGGTGTTTTAAAAAGCATAAAGTTACCTGTTTGCACTGTTTTAAGATAGGAGAAAAGAATAGTGGGCAAGATGAACATCAGACATAAATTTGTGTGTTTTTATTTTGTCATGCTCTTGAAAATGTCTGACCATTTGTAGTATATAACACCAGTGAGACTCGATTCTGTTACATAAAACACTAAAATTTTTTTTCTTTTTTGGGTAATGTTACGTCCAGAAGCCTCTTCCCTCCCTTTCCCTTTCCCTGTGTACTTCCTCCACACTTGCTTTACTGATCAACCAGGCAATAGCCATCCAAGAGCTCGAGCATGAAGCGGGGCCCTTTCCAAGTAGGCTCCAGCAGTCCTAAGCCAGTGCACTCCCCCTGGTCTAGTAAGCGCAGTGGAGTCCCTGGCACCTGGCTTTAAAACAAGGCTTACAGACCAGCCTATGGCAAGTTCTGCAGTGCCCAAAGTAGACGCGCTAGGAACGAGGAGCCGAGGGCAGAGGGGATTCCTCAAGTGACCCAAGTCGGCTGTTGTAGTGGTTCTTAACCCACGTTACCGCAACTGTAGCCAGTTACAGTTTACTCAGGAAAACGGGAGATCAATTCAGCCATGGTGGTGCTGGTTGGCAGGGATTGGTAACCGAGAGAACTGCTCATTAGCCAAAACTCAGACCTTGCCTTTAAGGAGACTGCCAGCGGGGGGACCCGGTGCGGGCGCGGGGGGCGGGGGGGCTCCCTCGGTCACACTGGCAAGCAAAAAGGGAACGTCCGTTCTCTTCCCCCCCCCCCCCCCCCCCCCCCCCCCCCCCCGTTCCCAACACCAATTCCCCAGGGGGTCCATGCGGTTTTGACTTTTTAAAAAGTGACTTTTGGTTTGGTTTTACTGGGGACTGATAAGTGCTTTAAGCAACGTCTACACCCCATTGAGACTCCCAGCTTAGCCATTTTCTTGTATTTTTCTGTTCACAGTATTTTCGTGTGTGTGTGCTTGTTCTGGCAGCTGATTTTGGCTGTATTATATATCAAAGAGTGATGAATTGATCCTCTTTTTTCCCTAAGGGATATGAATTGTTTTTTTTTTGTTTTGTTTTGTTTTGTTTTTCTTGTGTTATAATTCTGCTTGTGAATAGCTGGAGCAAACCTGGGGCTTGACACACGTAAGCTAGGGCTGCAAAGTGCTGACAGGGCCGGTGGAGTTGACTTGTCCCTGACAGGCTGACCTACCTGTGTCTCTGAGCTTTTCAGCCCAAATCTTTGCAAGGCTAAAAATGCCACAGAACCTCTCCTCTCCTCCCCACTCCCCATGGCAGGGACTGGACCATCCCAACATGCGACATGCAGCTTCTCCAGCCCCCTCCCATTGCCATGGCAAAACAGGTACCTTTGGGGCATGGGGGCATCACATGGGATGCTTGTATAATTGACCACCTCGCCTTCTCTCCCCACCCCCCACCCCAGAGTCACTTCCTAGGACACCCGAGCTGCTTGCCCAGGGTCCTGTTTCCCTGCGAACTCCAGAGAAGCACCCCCGGGCTTTG